GGTATAAACTATATAAAGTATTTTTCTTGTTTACATGAATATAGTCTTTTTATTTGTCCTCATGGGTAAAAATAATAATAAATAAAATTCGCAATATATTTCTTAATTTTATAATGTCACCTCCACTGGCCGTAAAAGTTCCCGAAAAGGCCTTGGAAAGGCCCACGGACCACCAGTTGATAATTACAGTTGTAGCTTGTTTTGTGGCTCTGGACACATTTTATTACTGCGTCAGTAGCAGAAATGGCTCTTTTGATTGTAAAGGTTGCAGACCCCTGACTTAGTTAATATTCATGGTAATTTCGTAAATMTTTCATAATTTGACATTAAGGAGGAATTATTTAGAAAAGATCATTTATATAAGATAGGTAAATGTGAAATGGTCATTTGTTTTTGTCTTGTTTTGTTGGTTTAAAAATAAAAAAAAGTCCAGACTGAAGTTCCATCCAGTGGTTCAGGAGATATTTTGCTAACAGACCTCGCTGTGGAGACGTGGCATTAATCCAGAGGTTAACGAGCTCTGAGGAAACGAGCTCGTTAACCTCTGACCTCACAGYACAGGAGCTGATTGGACGCAGCAGCAGAAACTAAATTTAGCTTTTATTGGAGGAAAACAGCTAAATGTTGGAGAGCAGGAGCTGCGCTGCCCCCTGCTGGCTGCTGCTGMCCTCACAGCACAGCTCTGCAGCACAAACAGTCTGTTAGCAAAATATCTTCTGTCRCCCCCGAACCTGACTCATCACTTCTGACTCATCAATAAATACATTTAGACGACAGATTTTATGGGTTTTGAGGAAAATACGTCTAAAAATCTCAACTGAGGAAAATGATGATGATGATGATGATGAAAATCTTTTTTTTTAATCAAAGTTAAAATAAAATCAGGTCGTAAATATTTATTTCTGTCTCTCCATGTTTCTGCTCCTCTCCTCATCAGGTGAAGCTGTAAAATTTCAACAACAGATGTTTTTGTTTCTGCAGGTTTTACATTTTTAATTTTCTCATTAAAGTTTTATCATCATGATTAATTCATGATGGATTGTTTACAGAGTTAATAAGAGGCTCAGTGAGCTTGTAAACTGATAAATGTGTAAACAAACACACACACACACACACACACACACACACACACACACACACAC